CCGCCGGTACGGGTCTCCCGCCGCGCCCTCCATGCACGCCTCCGCGCCCTGGCCGCCCGGCTCCATCGCTGCGCCCTGCGTCGCTCCTCCGGTCCCTCCGCCTCGCCACTTCCAGGGGCGGCCCCAGAGTTTCTGGAAAGGAGGGGCTTAGCGGTCGCCGTCTGGTTGGAGCGGCGCCGGGCCGGGTGTTCAACAGCTGCGCTGGCCCCGCAGGGCGTTCGTGCTCACCCGAGTTGCTTTGGAGGGGGCTGGGGTATGGGGCCCAAGAGCCCCCGAGGCCCCCGCGGTGCCGCCACTGTCCGGTCTCGCCTCTCCCGGTGATCCCCGCGCTCTTCCTCCCTCATCACTCTCGGGGTGTCCCCGGCGTCTGCTCTTTCTCTCCCACTCCCGGCCCGGACGCTTTCACCTCCCTCCACTCTCCGCTCCGCCCGCCTGGCGAGGAGTGGGCGCGGGGTAGCAGTCAGGAAGGGACTGGGCGGAGGCAGCCTTGTCTGGTTGCTGGAGGTGTGCCGCTCCCCTCCCACGCGTCACTACTCTCCTTCTCCCCGGAGAGCCTTTCGAGGGTAGCCCCGCAAGCATATCCTGGCTGCGTTCCATAGCCAGAAAAAGGCTCCTCCTCCCTTAAATCCAGCTACCGGGTTCCCAAAGCCACCTCTTGCCCCACTATGGACGGTGCAAAAAGCCCCGTGTGGTAACTAGAGCAGGGGAGGAAACCGGCTTAGAGAGGGGAGGGGACTAGGGCAGGGACATCCAGCTGGTGAGATGCCGATTCGAGATGGACCCTCTGCTCTCTAAGCCCTGCGTGTGTGTTGGGGGCCAGGGATAGGTCTCCCCAGAAAGTGGTGGTCTTCCAGCCCCCCACCTTTGTGCCGGGGATGGTGAATTGGCAATGGGACCTGAGTTCCATTTCTGAGCTGGGATTAGGCTAACACGTTGCAGTTTGGCCAACATTTTCTCTGGTGCCTTAGAACACATTTCTGGATGGTAAAACAAAACGTCCTGTTCAGGTGAGTGCTAAGACTGTGTTCCCTCTCTTTTGTGCAAGAGAGGTGCAATGACGTTGTCCACCTGTTACCTGCACTGGGAACAGGTCATCCAGCCACACTGGAGCAAGAGGCAGACTCTCTTCCACTGGCCTCCGCTGTAATGTGGGCATAACCTTGCCTTGTGTATAATTCCATGATTTTAAATGTTAAATCCCACCATTTGAAAAGGGGTAAAATTCTGTCTCCTCTGCCACAGTATTCCAGAATCGGCACTTTGTCCATTTGGCAAATTTCTGTTCATTCTTGAAGACTTTGCCCAAGGTACACCTCTGCTGGGAGGGAGTCAGATGCTTCTCCCCAACCATTTTGGAATATGTTTTGTTAAGGTTTGTTTTTTAATTTTATAATTTTAAAAAAATAAAAAGTAATTAAAAAGTAAAAACATTAAAAGTAAATTAAAAAGTAATAGCAATTTGACAAAAAGTTTTGCATCAAGTCCATTTCTTGGCTTCAACCTTAGAAAAACACAGGTGCACAGAATGTTTACTGCATCATTGTTTATAATAGTGAGAAACTGGGGGACAACCTGGTGTCTATCAGCATATCAGCCAGGACAAATCACCAATGAGGAAGAGGGAACAAAGCAAGTCGCAGCACAGTTTGCATGGTGATAATGCTCACACGGGGAGAACCAGAGAACCACACAGCATAGTTAGTGCTCAGTGCTTTCGGCAAGGACGTGTGTATGCAAGTGCATGGAAGAAGATGGACAGATTCACTGATGGATCCAGTGGTTATTTCTGTGGATGGAAGATCTTTAGCTTTCACTGCAGTGAAATAAAATGATGTTTTCATTTGTTTCTTTTTTTTTTCTCTCTTCTTTTTTAAGGGGAGAATAAATTTTATTTGTCATTTATGTAATGTAAAGTTCACCTGCTTAAGGTATAGAAATCAATGGCTTTTAGTATGTTTATAGAGTTGTATAACGATCACCACAAGCTTATTTTTTTTTTTTCCTTTTTGTCTTTTTTCGTGACCAGCATCGGATCGCAACCCTCAGTGTCGCGCCCGTACCGGACCAGGACCGGCAACGGGATCGCAACCCTCGGTGTTGCTCCCGCACCTTGCTCAGCCAGTGAGCGGCCGGTCTGTATGTGGGATCCGAACCCTTGGCGGGAGCGCTGCTGCGCTTCCCAAGCGGCGCAGTGTACCAGTGCGCCACCGGGCCGGCCCCACCACAAGCTTATTTTTGAACATTTTCATCACCCCCCACCCCAAAGTAAACCCTGTACTAATTAGCCCATCCCCCTCTACCTTACTCCCTCAGCCTTAGGCGACCACTACTTTCTGTATCTATGGATTTGCCTATTCTGGTAATTTCATGTAAATGGTATCATAAAATAGGCGGCCTGTTTGTGACTGGCTTCTTTTTGAAAACATTAACGTAATGTTTTCAAGGTTTATCCGTGTTGTAGCATGTGCCAGTATTTCATTTCCTTTCAGTGCTGAGTAATAGTTCAATGTACGGATAGACCACATTTTGTTTTATTCACTGATCAGCTGATGAGCATTTGGGTTGTTTTCACTGTTTGGCTATTGGGAATGATGCTGCTGTGAACATTTGTGTAAAAGTTTTTTTGTGTTCATATAATTTCATTTCTCTTGGGTAATACCTAGGAGTGGGATGGCTGAGTCCTATGGTAGTTTTATGTTTAACTTTTTGAGGAATGGCCAAACTATTTTACAAAGTGGCTGCACCATTTTTATTCCCACTAGTAGTGCATTTCATGTGTTTCATCTGTTTCTTGGTGTCTGAAGTGACACAGAGGTTCTCAGTCCTGGACTCCTGCTCTTCCCACCCCCACTTTCTCCACCCCAGTTCATGGTGCCCTCAGCCTTCCCCAGCAACACCCTGCCGCCTCCGTGTCATCTCTCACTTTTACCTCCACATCCACTGGTCAGGCTGTCCTGGCTGTGCCTTCAAACATATCTGGACCTGATTCCTGCTCCCTGCTCCACCATCACCACCCTGGACCAAGCCCCCCGCATCTGTCACCTGTATTACCTGCAGCACCCTCCCCACAAGAACGGCCCTTGAACTCCTGTGGCCTGTTCTCAACAGCCAGAGGATCCTGTTAAAACTTAAGGCAGACCATGCCCCTCCTCTGCTCAGGACCCACCAATTATTCCCCTCTCACAGGAACTAAGGGCACAGTCCTCACTGTGGCCCCAAGGCCCACCATGGTCAGCACCAACAGTCCCCTCATAATCTCTGCGACTTCCCTGACTACTGCTCCCTTCCTCCCCAACCTCTTTGCTGGCCCCAGATATTTACATCCCCACCCCACTCCCTACCTCTTGCAAGTCCTGCTCCCATTTCATTTCCATGGTGACCTCCAGCACTCAGCACCTCGAATAGACGACCTCCTGCCTGCTGTGTGTTGTCCATCTCCTTCAATTAAACTGTCAGCCCATGAGGGTAGGGATATTGGCTGTTTTGTTCACTGGCAGCAGTAACTGGCACACTGAAGGAAGATCTCCGGTCCAATCTCCACTGCTGCCTATGGGTGCCATTGCAATGGCGGGAGTGGCAGGTTGCCTTCCACGTGCTTTCTTTGCCTATAACTGGCACACTGAAGGAAGATCTCCGGTCCAATCTCCACTGCTGTCTATGGGTGCCATTGCAATGGCGGGAGTGGCAGGTTGCCTTCCACGTGCTTTCTTTGCCTATAAACGATATGTATCTTTTTTGGTATGTATTTTTTAAAAGCACCCATCACACCACATTTATTTGTGGGCCTCTCCCGATGTCCGAGCTTGACAGGGCCAGGGAGCTGGTGCCCCCCAGTGCCCAGCATGGAGCCCAGCACAAAGCTGGCACTGATAGTTTTGGTTCATATGAAGGTGCCTTTGTAGAAGTGAACTCACTGCATCTAAATGGCAAACTACCTCCAGGAAGCATCTGTGGAATTTGAGTAGTGTTGGAGTCTCTGAGGTTCCAAATGTTGGGGGGTGATCGTACCCCCAGCTGGCCTGTAGAAGTTTCTGGGCCAGGAGCCCCACGGCCTGGGGACTTGATGAATGCACTTATAAGAGGGCTCTGGACGTCTGAGTCCTGTCTCTGCAGATGAATCGAATTTTATTTCATGTTAGTGCTGAGAGCTGGTAGCCTAGGCAAGAGGGTGACACTCACCCCACCCTGTCATTGCAGCTGGTAACAGCATTTGGTGAAGGAATCCTTTGAACAGTAACTTCCCTGGGCTAGTCACTATGAAAAGAAAGCTTTGAAATCTCTCGCTGTGGGGCCGTTGCCCAGCCTCCGCTCCCCTGCAGCTCGGGGCGGTGAGGGTGAATAATGGTGGCTGTCAGGCCTGTCTGTCTGCCAGGCGATGTTACCAGGCATCTCTGAAATAATTTCAGTTAGACCCACAAGGTTTTTGTTTAAGGTTCAAAGTGAGCAAACTCTGAGGTCTCCTTGCATTCTTTTGTAGGAGCTGGGGGGATGGGCGTGTGTCTGTGTGGTGGAGAGTCAAGGCCCCAGCAAAGAAATTATTTTCTGCAGTCAGTTCACTATTGTTTGGGCCATTTAAAATAGTATGTTGGTCAAAGTGTCTTTAAAAAGCCCGGATAAATGCTAAATAGTAAAAATCATCCACCATCCTGCCACCAAGAGGGGACCACAGTACATTTCTGATGTATTTATTTCCAGGCTTCTCCATGCACTTGGGAATGAAAGAACTTTCTGGGGTGATAGAAATACTCTACATTATCACTGGGTTGGTGGTTCCATGACTGTATATATCTGTCAAAATGCTTAAAACGGGGGAGGGGTCAAGATGGTGGAATAGTCGGTTCCTGGTGTCGCTATCTCCCACAGAGTGACCAATTTGCAGCTTTTAAGGGATAGCAACAGAGGACCCGAAATCTGTGCTGGAACGGACAGGAGCCACCCGCCACGGGACTCCAGTTCACGTTGCTCCCCATTTTGTAGAGAGACTTTAGAGCTTTTGGGCCCACATATCCTGAGCTGCCAGCCAGAGAAGGCAGGTGGGGCTGGGGCAGGACTAACAGCGCAGGCTGTCCCGTCTCAGGGAGCGATCTGAGAGGCACGGGTTCCCAAGCCCCGAGCCAGACAAGCTGGTGAAGGCTGATGGGGTGGGGCTCTCGGCCCAGGCTGTCCCATCTCCATGAATGACCTGAGAGGCTCCAGGTTCTCAAGCCCCAAGCCAGACAAGCCGGTGAATGCAGGTGGGGCGGGACTTCTGGTCCAGGCTAGTTTCTGCTGTCCAGAAGCAGCAGACCCTTCAGGGTCCAGGCCAGACATCAGGGTGAAACGAGTGAACTGTGATACCCTGCAG